TTAACTTTGATAAGGTATTAATAAAAATGATGTGATGATGTTGATGCGTTAACAGTGTGACTCCATAAAGAAAGGATTGGAGGCGCCGAATTCGAGTTAATCCGCATGAATTGTAAAGGGTGGGCCATCCATTGGTTTTATTTTTTAAATTGGTATTGAAGTTACACTCTTTAATAATATGTAACACTCGATACTTGATTCAAAAGAATATACCTTCCGATTATTTATGAAAAACAATTTCAGTTAAATGGTTGCTGCGGCTGGCCTGGCAGTAGTCCATCCTCTAAACCCAATTTTGAAGCACATTTTCGATAGTTTGTGGGTCTATTTCATCAATAGCTCGATAGATATTTTCCTTAAGGACATCCATTGTTTGAGGATCGTTAGTGTAACAGCGGTCCTTAACAGTACCCTATAGGAAGTAATCCATGGGCGTCAACCCACAGCTGCGGGCTGGCCAATGATGTCTCCAAAACGGCTGATAACGCAATTCCGAACTTAGTGTGTGAAAGTTCGATTGTTTCACGGCTGGTGTGGCATGTTACGCCATCCTGCTGGAACCAGAGGTTGTGTAAGTGGCCACAAAAAACTCCTCAACATGTCTCTATAGCGTTCCCCGTTTACCGTCACGCTGTTACCATCTTCATCTTGAAAAAAGTAGGGACCAATAATCCCACCTCTATAAAAGACACACCAAACAGTTACTCTTTTTGGATGAATTGGTTTTTCTATGACGATATGTCGATTTTCAGAACCCCAAATCCTACAGTTCTGCTTGTTAATGTGACGTGCCAGATGGAAATGGGCTTCGTCCGAAAAGATGACCAAAATTGACGTCCGTTTAAAATTAATTTAGAGCCCACACAGAGAAACGATATCGAAGCGGATGGTCATTTTGTTTCAACTCTTGCACAAGTTGCACCTTGTAAGGAAATAATCCCAGGTCGTTATGCAATATTCTGCGCACAGAAGTGCGACTGATGCCCACTTGTTGTGCTCTGTGACGAGTTGACATTCTTGCGTTTTCACGCACGCTCTGGGCAACAGCAGCAATATTTTCGGCTATACGTACGGGTCGAACACGCTCGTACCTTCTGTTATCCACAAGGACTTCATCCCGACCAAATAGTCTTCTCCATTTTCGCAAAGTTTCTGCAACACATCACTCACTTTGAAAATAGTTTTTCAAAATTTCCCACCTTTGTTCAAGATTAAAACGATCCATTGCTCACAGCGGAAGTTTGACACAATATATCTGTCAATATGTTGAGCATGGAAGTGTTGCCTGCTGTCAAAATAATACCTACCAAAAAAAATGATGGCCCTGTACATGGGAGGAGAAATGTATGTTTCTTCAATTGCTTTGAAATATTGTTATCTGGCATGTAAATCACGAACAATTATTGTCACTCAGACAGACCTGTCTATCGATCTGTCTGTTTGTGTCTGCTTGTCCGCTTGGCCCTTCTATAACTTGGATGGCATCGCTACAAATTTCATGAATTTCTGATACAAGGTACTACTAGGCTAAGGGCGGAAAAGGTTTGTAGGTTTTTGATCCAGGGATGAAGCAGTTTCCGCCAAAAAAGGAAAAAATGAAAAAATCCCAAACCTCGTTTTTTTGGCGTTTCAGACACTCCAGTTCAATTTCAGACATTCTTGTAGCGATTGAAAGGCGAGGGTTGGGGTTGTAGGGAATTCTAAATGTTGTATCTAAGACGTGCTATTATCCCGGTAATACTACGCACCTATTATCCGTAGTCGTGCCATAAGTTCTGTCCCATGATAATCTCATGATAAAAATGAAACAAGATAAGATATATTTATATGAAAGATATTATTTATTCGACAACATTTTTAGAATTCATAATCAAACAGTTTTATTCAAAATGTCCCCCCTTGGCCTTCACACACTGCTTCAATCTCGCGGGCCACTCATCTATCACTGCACGCACAGCTTCCAAAGGAATAGCTGCCGCTGATCGGATCAAATCCGCTTTCAGGGACTCGATATTACGGTGGGCTTTGGAGCAGGCCAACTGCTCTAGCAGGTCCCACAACTTGTAGTCTAAAGGATTGAGGTCCGGACTCCCTGAGGGCCAATCTTCCGCAGCAATGAACTCTGGCACATTGCTTTCCAGCCAGCGCTGCGTACTCTTAGCCTTGTGAGCGGGGGCGGAATCCTGCTGGTAGACCCAGTGTTGGTTGGCAAACAATGTACCACTTAAAGGCTTGACGATAGGATCCAGTATGTCGCTCTGATAGTTTGCCGCTTTTGTTTTCACGCCCTGTTTACAGAAATGGAGCTGAGTGACCCCTTCGTAGGACACCCCCCACCAAACCATGACTGACGCAGGGTGGTGGCCTCTCTCAACTCTCGGAATGATCTCCGAAGCTTCCTGTGAACTCCTTGCATACACTTTGTCATTTTGTCGGTTGAATTTTTCTTCTATGGTGAAGATTTTCTCATCCGTGAACAAAATCTTTCGGAATCCCCCAGCTGCGTACCTCTCCAAGAGCTTCTTGGATCTTGTCGCCCTGATGTGTCGCAAGGTGGCCGTAAGTCGCTGGCCCGTACGTCTCCGGTAAGCCCCTAGCCCTAGGTCTTGTTTAATGATGCGCGACATCGTCCGGACAGGAATCTTCATTTCCCTGGATAGGATCTTCTGCTTCCGGAGTGGATTCCTTTGAATCCTGGCTTTTTCGGCTTTGATGGCTGCTGGAGTCCTTACTTGACGAGGTCTTCCGCTTCTTGGCCTGTCATCAACAGAGGACGTCTCATTGTACCGCTGAATGGCCCTAGACACAAATTTACGCGATATTTGAAGGCCGCGTAAGAGTTCAAAAATCTGACTAGCACTGTGATTACACTTATGTAAAGCTATCACTGCAATACGGTTCTCTGCCTTGCCCCACTCCATCGTTATGCTTCGAGAGATCAATACAAACTGAGGTATATGTAATTACCCGAAAAGCGCTTAATCAACTGACACCACAATGTAAACAATCGGACAAGTATTAACAGGTCTACACTTGTTTGAAAACGAGGGACAGAACTTATAGCATGACTACGTATAATACATAAGTGCTAAATTAAGATGATGGTTCAAATCGCAGCAACTGATTGATCAAGGTTTTGAGACTCGTTCGTTCGACCGCCCGATGACACCAGAGATTTGGCATTAGCAGAAAAATTACGTGCATACCACCGTGCAAGTCATGTGTTTGGCGCAAGCACAGACTTGTGACGTACCACGAAGTATCGAAGATTCCAGAGGCGTCGACTTCAGCGATCCTTTTGCTTTTACTTCTTACGCCACTGGCGAGGAACTGTTATAAAAAGTATTGAAAGTGAGATATTATGTTTGTTGGAGCATCGGAAATCCGGCCATCAAAAATCCGGAGCGTCGTAAATCCGGATCGGCGGTGAGAGCAGGTAGGAGGCGGGAGGTAGTAGAAGGTGTCCTTGAGAGTTCAACGACTTAGCCAGTCACCTCTCTTCAGTCACTTGCTCGGGTCAGTTCTGTGCTATTATTCACAAACTTTGCAGCAGTGGTGAACATGTGAAATCAACTCATATGGATGAATACGAAACAAAGCAGTGTTTCCGGAAGACAACCACCTGATAACGCTGTTGCATCAAAAAATAGTGGAATATCCCGTATATTGATATATGACGTTGTCAAATTCATTCAAATTAAAATTTTCCATCATAGAAATTTCCGTTTCACTACCGCAGCCAAATAAATTGTCGTCCTTTGACCAGAATTACGGTATAACACTGCTGATGGCGTTATAAAACATTCGATATACCATTAAAAATGTGCTCTATAAAATTATCTAAAGAGTTACTGAAAGCAGATTTGAACATTCGGACAATTCAGTAATCCGAATGAGTCTTGGTTCCGGTCGATTCGAATTAACGACGCTCCAGTGTATCTGACATCTACATCACGAAAAATTCTGACACTCATTTCTGTCGGTCTGTCTGTTTGTCCGTTAAGCCTTGCCCCATTTGTAACTTGAACAGTACTGCTCGGATTTTGATGGATACGTGCGTCGCCGGCCAGCCGTTGGGTTGCAGTCGGTAGAAGCTACCGTACTGCCGTGGATCTTCATACCCGAAGTGAGTCATAGCAACGTTCATGCTCGCCCGTACGATTTTTTCTCATGACAAGAGATAATGTTTTGTGAAAGTGTACCTATCTTTTTGAAGAGCAAGAAGTAGCAAATTTTCTCTGAAGGGGAGGCGTGGAGGAATCCTAAAAATCTCCACAATTGTACACGATAGTAGTGTTGTGTAATTCCGGTCCGACCCGTTCTGATTGAACGAGTAGTGTAGTACATCCGGTTAAACCGAATCTAACCTCGCAAACTAATCGGGCCTGATGGAACGAACATGCAATACCTTTCCACCGCATCCCATTCGTTCCACGGACTAGCGACGCAAGGGCATCGAAGGGCCGATGCTCCGGGCGCCGACCTATCCTGTGTATCATGCATGTTCGCGGAGCTGCAGAAGTTTGAACGATTTTCAATTTCCAAACGATTTTCAATCATTCAAAAATGTGGACCGCTACCTGAAACATGGAGAGGCTCAATATTTCCAAAGACAGTTATGTGGAAACGGCTGAGCCAATCATCTACATAACTACATTTTTAACACGCCTTTTTGTTGTAAGCTTGGCCTGTATGTATATGTCGCTGCCAACTAGCTTAATTAGCCGTTCAATAAACAGCCTAGCCTCTTTACCAAACAGCGCTGTTCAACTAGCGGCCTGAATGATGTGCAGCCGTAGCGGCTATTACAGCATTTAATACAGTAGCTGGAAAATGCTTAAGCCATTCGTAGGATAGGGTAACCATGTGACAGAAATAAAAAAAAGATGCGGCATTTGACATAACGGATCCTTTATTATATTTAAAATGTAACATATTACTGTTATTTGGAAATAACGTAACTTAAGTACACAAGTATTAATATTATTTGTTAACACAAGTTAAGCTTCCATGGCATTTGGACCCGCAAAGAACTTTGTGCTTGGAACAGGAACATCTATTATTGCGACATGGATTAACAGCAGGCTTACAGTTACATTTTTGGAATCCCTGGCCACCGAAAGGTGACTGACTTGCCACAGCCTCTCTTAAAGAAATAAGGTTTTCTGAAATTTCGTCGCCATAGTCTGTATCTGAGTACTGCAAGTCTTGGCGAGAAAACCAGTTTTTAATTGTACCATACTTAGTTCCAACTTTATGAACGCCATTTCTTATGTCAACAATTTTACCTTGAATATTTTTCATGTCCAAAGGCCCGCGATCCACTTTGGGGATGCTTACCAAAACACTATTACCAATATCTAACTTAGGCATTTTTTTAATTCTAGCATCAATCATCTGTTCGGCTGCACGCTTAAGTCCTTTGTGTGCTTGGTCTCTCTCTAAATTTATATCCTGTTCAATTTTACACATAAAACATACCAATTTGGAAGCAGAACCCTCTTTAACCAACATTATTCCGCTTATTGCATGTATAACATTATTGCAAGACTCACATTTGTGCGCTTCAGTGGCACTGTTATGGCAAACTGCACAGTTGAAGTTTGATTCTAAATTTTCAATATTTTGCGTTACGTTGAAATTGTCATCGTTGTTGTCACAGTTACTGTGTGTAGCTTCAGCTGATTCTCGCTCTCTTAAAGTTTCCAATTGCTCCTCTGTTTCTATAGTTAAAAGTATAGATGGTGGAATATCAGATCCATTTAAGCCCGCTTTAGGTTCACTTCCAAATAAAGCTTTATATGGAGATCTATGGAATGAACTGTTTTTGAAATATTGCACAAAAAATCAGCCCACAGACCAGTTTGTTGATTTGTTTTCATGCATCCATGCTCGCAGCATATTTTTGATGTCTTGGTTGCTTCTCTCGACACTGCCTTGAGTTTGGGGAAGACGTGGATTCCCATGAACAATTTTGCACTCAGGCCACATTGTAACTAATTCTTTTATTACATTTGCAGTGAATTCACGGCCATTGTCCGATTGTAAAATGTAGGGAGCTCCAAATGTCAAAAAAATCTTCATCAGCTCAAAAGCTACCTCAGCAGCCCTTTTTGTTTTAAGTGGCCGTAGATTCAGAAATTTGGTTGCATTATCTTGATAATTTAAAAGCCACTTAAACTGACCATCGGGACAGGACTGAAAATCCATAAGGTCGACTTGTCCTCTTAGATTAAAATCACGTGAGACGATTGGCTTCGTCACAATACCTTTTCTTGGTGCGTTTGTTTTAGTTTCGCATATAGGACACAAAGACACAGAAATTTCTACTGCTTTCTTAGGAATATAATATATGTTCTTTATGTCGTACAAAATTTTATCTCGCCCACCATGACCGCAGGATTTATGTACATCTAAGAAGATATCAAAATACTGTTCTCTAGATAAAATGCGTACTGTGGGATCAGTCGCCGTGAGTCTTTTAAAAATTAAAGAATCTTCATTTGCAGTTGTCATAATGTCGTATTTGCCCATCCAATAATAATCCATTACCGTCCTTCGCTGTCCAGAACTCATGGCCACCTTAGCTTTTTTTATTTCGTTCATAACCTCCAAAATTCTTTCTGCTGTCCGAGCTTTCCTATGCGATCCTGCAATGATAAAATATAAACCACATCAATTATATACGCTTGGTAATTAATTTATTACATACTTCACAATAGAACAAAGAATAATACGAAGGAATCAAAACAAACTTACCTTGATGCTGTTCGTCATATTCAACAAGTTTTCGATCGAAATTCGCTTTAAAAATTGAATTGCTTGAGTCAGTCACAGATAAATTCACATTATTATTGTCACAACACTGTTCCATTGTACTATTTTTCATTAAACTTTGGAAAACACCATCAAATTTGTTGTTTGCCGACGCCATATTGATAGTTTTAAGAGTTTCTGCACAAGGTGGCAGAAAGTGGAACTAAATTTAAATGAACAGGCTAGGCAAGTAGTTAAACGCTATCGCCTTAAGCCAGTTGCCTAGCTGTTTGATCAAATGACTGAACATCATTCAGGCCGCTAGTTGAACAGCGCTGTTTGGTAAAGAGGCTAGGCTGTTTATTGAACGGCTAGTTTTGCTAGTTGGCTGTGACATACATATATATATCCGAAGCTTCGCACACTTATCAAGGACCGATGGCAATGCAATAATTTGATAACAGTTTTCCATTATCCTTATTAGGACCGTCAGGATTTATAAATTCTTTTATAGATCCTTTGTAAGGGGGTAAGAGAGATAGAGCTAGCGCTCGATCTGCGCATGCGTGCAGTTTCGTACTTACTCTTTGTTGGTTCGGGCACTCGGCGCAGCACAACGGAGGCAGATACTTTTTCAATGTAGTGAATTCTCACCTTGTTCATTCATGATACATACGCAGGTCTAATACACGCGAATTACTGTTTATAATATTCATATAATTGATTAAAATACAAATATGAATAAAAAAAATGGATGAATCGAACTAAAAAATCAAAAATAAGTGATAGTTTAAAAAAACTAAAAGAACACGTTTTTATAGCTAACCGCACTGAAAAGTAAAAAATAATTTTTAATGACAAACAGTTTATACAGTACTAGAAGGTCGAACGTTAAATAATAAAATATAAGTTATTAACAGAACAATTCAATTAAGAGTAAAAAGCGTGGGGTGCTTGATATATTTAGGGCCAATTTCACCAACATTAATATTTGACGGTCAGTTGGACCAATAGGAAAATACCTTATCGAAATGCAATTTGACGGAAGCTGTCAAAGATCTCTGAATATCAGTGATTTCTATTGAAATATTGAATGAAATCGTGAAAATTCGACTGTATTATAAACAAGACCACTTTTTGATTCCAACATGATGCTTTTGTACAGAAAAAACAGGACAACTTTCATGCATTTTGATATATGTTATAGGTTTACATTTAACAATCCGTTATCCCCCTCAGCGAATGAGAATGGGGCAAATAATAGGTCATTTTTCTAGCTGTTAAATTTGGCAGCATATTTGGACGTTTGTCAATGCATGGCACTCTCGAATTTACCAACTTCAATATACCGAAAGTTATCATTAGATACCTGTTAAATAGTGTGGATTTGTCTGTATTTTGCAAGAAAATAGAATATAAAATACATTCCATCCAATTCCTCATCTTCCTTTTACGTCATAAGAGTAATCATTTATTAATTTATGGGTTAATGGATTTATTCAAAGCAATAAAAACATTAGGTCCTCTCGATCCTAAAACACAGATAATATGTGTAAGACGTGTCAACCCCTACATCTCCCTGATGCATAATGCAATTACTATGGACATAGACAAAAAATTATGAAAAATGCTTAACAGATAATGGCTTTTAAGTCCAAAAATCAAAAAACTAGTAATGTTTATTGTTTGTCTATTTTTTTTTACTGTCAGGGAGATCTATCTGACACTTGCAGGGTTGCCAAGTCTAACGACGATCACGTCCCGTGATGGAGGGTGCGAAATGAATCTTTTACATTTGCTGGTTTTGAATTTGAAGGTATCATGATTAAAAGCATCTTTGGTAGATTGTTCGATCCGGAATGGGAAAAATCTCCTATTTATGAAAATATTTGTGGTATCATCTAACCGTTGCAATCAGTGCACAAACACTGTGACATATGATTTATAGCATAACCCGCTGTCCTATCAATACAAATTTAACATACAGGTCGCCTAGCCGTGGGGATGCAGTGGTCGGGATGAATATCACGGCAGCAACTGATCATTTGGGCATGTCTGGTAACAACGTATGAAGTGTAACTCGCTAACTTCACAAATTTGAAGATTTTGTACAATGTCTTTGAAAATGATGAAAGATATGTCTGATTTGGCAGGGTAATGTCGCAGCCAAATGGCAGTTACTCTTTCTGACACAGTCCGGATCGAAAAATGACGATACTCGTGAAATGTATTGATACTTCTAAATATAGGATCGTATCGAACATCCCTACTGTCAAGATGTATAACCCAAGGTACCGACGGAGCTATATTGCGGCGTCATGGAAATAATTTTAAATTTTCATTTGCATTTTTTCAAGTGTTGTGCAATGATTTTGGGGAAAATGTCACGAATAGTCTTATAAAGCCTAGTAGAGTATATTTCAACAGTTGGCGGAACTTACTCCACTGGGACCAGGAGGGTGAAACGGAATATTAATGCACAATCTGGCAACCCTGTCGCACCCTCACAAAATGGCCGCTGATAACCACACAAGTCACCGTGTTGTCATTGAATAGCATGGAATTGACAGATCCCACACATGTGTCACTCCTTGAAATGCAATAATCAGCTGTATTCAAATAATGTCTAATATAAATATAACCTAGAATGCGTACTCGTGAAAAAAGAAAAATATGTCAATTTTGTAGTTTTTTTGCAGGTTTTAGGTTTGCTGGTAGCTTTAAGGCATATATTTGGGAATTTCTTAATCGCTGTGAATATAGTGTGGATGTTTGTTCAGTTCCTGAACAACGAAAAATATTCAACTTTATGGATGTATGGATATCAAAAAACCTGAATGGTTTTGTGGGAATATCAATCTAAGGTGCCATAATGGTTCTGATGAACGGCGAGTAAATGAATGAATGTTTGGAAACGAGCAATATCTTTTGGTAGAGCCTGTCATCAAGTAGGTGCTTAATGGCTATCTGCAAGAGGTTTATAGGAAAAAACACCCAGTATCACATACCAATTGAAGAAAATAATATAAACATGAATAAAAAATCAACAATAGTAATTAAAACATGAATTTAATTCAAAAATCAAACATTTCTTAAAATTTTGACTGAATTATATGTAATTTCTTAATATTCAATAAGCTGGTGATGTTTCAATGACAAGTTGTCATCTCATACTTTGACAGTATTTTGTTTTCAACATTTCATAGCTATTGGTTGCTAAAATTTGTTGATTGGAACTTGAAGCTTATTCGCTGTATCTGACGGTCTGTTACCCTATAGGTGGAGAATAACGGACTGTTGTTGGTGAATTTGGGCCTTAATGTTACAATCATTCTATTGGCAACTATCTATGAGAGGAGAGTTATGAAAATGAAGTAAAATGACCCCCACGCATTCTACTCTGAATTGGATTAATCTGCTAATAACTTAAATTTTGTTATAATTTTATTTTGAGGTCATTAATTATGATTGATTGTTAGTCCATCTACTACTGTAACATAAACCCTTTGTAATTAAAAATTATCGTGTTTTTTTGTTTTTAAACTGTTATTTTTATCGCTTAAAAAATTTTAACGCTGTCCAATTTCCAATTTACAGAAAAAATAACGGTAAGGGATCACATTAACTTACCGCTATCATAGGATTTATATGAACAATAAAGCCGTTATCATTTATTTTAGACTGTTTATACAATACAGAACGGTGCTTCATATAGAACAAAAGCGTAACTGTCACACCTACTATGAAACAGTTGAAATCCTTGTTATCGCTGGTAACAATACATCAAGAAAAATATAGGGCACCTGTCGTGTCGTTAGGACATTCCTACATAGAGGAATGAACTATTTGCATACTAAAAACTACCTAGTCTGCAAGATGACATTTTGTCGATTTTAGGTTTTTTACCCCTGTAGAATGAAACGAACGAATTTGCTTGATCGAGCCGACAATGGAACGAATCTAGGGGAACCGAATCCTTTAATGGACCCTGACCACCCAGCACTGCATAAAGGCATGCTAGATATGCAAATTTTAGTTGTTTGGATGACTTTTTGTTATACATATTCGTAACTAACTTTTTCGAGAGAGAACTTTAGCCAAACGGGTAGTTGCCACGCGAATTGCCCAGTCTTTCCTAGGTTTACGATTACTTGTTTTTCTGAACTTCGGCGGTTTCCGTCACCGCATCCAGCTAAAAGGTCGGAGAATTCATTTTTACTTCCTACGCCACTGGTCAAGGAAGTTCTACTATTCGTCATGTGTTTGTCTGGGCGGTCCGTAGAACCTTTGCCCATTAGTCACTGTCTAATGTACGTTAGTCGAATCTGTCAGTGCTGGTTGTCCAGAAACCAGACAATGTCAAGGAAAAAGAGAAAGGGAAAGAGACGGAAAAAGGAGAAGAGCCAACAAAAACAGAAGTGTTTAGTTTAATACATAATCCCTCAAGTAAGGAATGTCAAGGTCTCTGTGTAGTGTCTTGTTTGAGACATACTATGGATCGTTGCAAATTGTTTGCAAAGTTCTGCTTTGCAGCACTTGAAGACTTTGCATGTGTGTTTTGGCAAGAAATCATTTTATATAAGCGAACTTTGTTTATTAAGCTCAATTTGGAGGATCTACATAACAAAGGATATAGTTGCCGAAACGCAATTCGGAATTTTGTTTTCAAGGCTGCTGTATGTTTCTGCCAGCTCATGCCTTTATCAAGGGTGACACCGAGGTACTTGGCAGAATTTGTCCATGGTACACGATTGCCGTCTACAGAAACCTCTGCTGGGGGGCAGGACGTTTTTTTGGTACAATAAATAGCCTGCGCCTTCGAATGATTAATTTTAATCAGCCACCATTCCGCCCACTCTAGTACTTGGTCCACCGCATTTTGCAACCCATCTAGAACCAGATCACCAGTACACGACTGAGCGACAAGTGCAGTGTCGTCAGCAGAGAGGTAAACTTCACAGTTGCTGGGGCAAGGGACATCATGGACGAAAAGCTAATAAAAGATTTCAGTAATTTTAGAAGCCAAAAAGGAAAACTCTTTTAGATTAGTTTATAGAAGAGGCCACACCTTGTCAAAGGCTTTTGAGACATCCAAAAGCAAGATGCCAGGACTCATGCTGAGGGTGAACCCTCTGGCTACATGTTCCACTAGCCTGACTGCCTGTAGCTCGGTGCTATGCTCGGACCCAAAACCAAATTGAACGTCAGGGATCACATGGTGATTTGACGAAAAATTCTCAAGTCAAATCACCTTTTCGGAGAGCTTAGGAGGTGACAG